TTTGCATATGGTTAATCTCCATTGTGAGGTACTAATAGGGTGGAAATTTAATGTGACTACAGTGTTTAGAGGTGAGGCCTTTGGGAGGGGATTTCATAAAGGATGAAATAAAGTCATTAGGGTGGAGACCCCATGATTTAGTACTGGTGTTTCTAAGAAAAGGGAGAGAGACTGGAAGAGATATACATGTACAGTCCCTGTTTCTCACCATATCTTGCCCTCACCATCTCAGGACTCTGCTAGTAAGATTGTGAAGTAATAACAGTCACCACATGCAGCCCCTTGACTGTGGACCAGAACTGTGAGCCCAAATAAACCTCTTTTCTTTACAAGTTATCCAGTCTATGGTATTGCGTTATAAGCAACAGAAAATGGACTAAGACAATCTACAATGAGACAATAGCATGGGGCTTGGCTAAATTGGCATGGAATGTAAAACCAGAGGAGCCTCAGGGATTGCCTAAGCTGCCTAATAGTTATATGAGTTAAACATTCTGAACCAGCAGCCTCCTTATTTGTAAAATGAAATAAATAATACCTCTCTGAATTGTGGATGTTAGGCTTAATATAATGCTCATAAAATGCTTATGATAGATTCCTGTGTTTCTTATATACACAGATGTTTATCCTTGGAAGTGAGAAGAACAGTTGTGAATGGAGTTGTTTGTGGAGCATTGGTCCTGGTGATAACACTTAGATGTTATATTCTAAATGCTTACATGCTGTTTTCTTCCATTAGTCTGTGAACTACTTAAGGGTAGGCAGGACCTTTTTGGTCTCTGATATCTAATAGGTGCATGTTTTTGATGCATGTTAATAAATAAAGGAATGAACTCAAATAATTTCAGTGGTACTTAAAATATTTTTTGGAAAATAATTTGAGAAAATATGGATGCCAGATTTTCCCCCCTTTCTTCTCTTCTTTGACTAAAAAGTAAAGAATATATTATCTGCAGACAATTTTGGTAAAGCAGCTAATGAGAAATGTCCTATTAAATGTCAAATGCACTATAAATTAACATTTATCTAAAATTTGTATAAGAGAATTCTTTTTTTTTTCTTGAAAATATTTTAGCAATTTGCCTTAAGAATATTTGGGGTTTAGTCAACTGATTGTACTAGTGGTTTTCTCTTTAGAGGTGAACCTTTTTGTTGAATAAAATTCACTAATTTCATATCAAATTTACAATATGAGATTGTTGAGTATGATTTTTAAAGAATTTAAAGCCTAAATTGGAACCTTATGGACATTTAACCTAGAAACATATGCCAATGTAATTTGTATGTAGAAAACCTCTTTTCATATTATTAACAAAAATCACAATTGTGTTCCAATCTTTGTTCTCTGGGGATAAATCATAGTAAATCACTTCCTGCCATTTAGATACCTCAGAGTCCCAACTGCCTAAAGCTTAATGCCATATTCATCAGAAATCCCTGCGTCCCCCCAAAAAGGTTATGATGACAGAAAAAATGTTTCCCATTTCTCCTTAAAGGGTGGAGAGGAGGGCAGGAAGGAAAGGAGAGAATCTGGTTTCTCTATGTCTGGAAGGAGACAGTTCAGATTAATTTCTAGTGCCTTAAATAAGAAACAGGAAAAATGGCCTCCATGAAGAGAGTCACTTTTCCCAGCCATGAACATTTAGTACTCATCCGCCCGGCTCCAGGTCCAAAGAGAACTTTATACAGAGCTGAAAAAAAAAAATCAGACCAAGCCTATTTTTAAAAATGGAAATTGAAAATAGAACCTATTATGCTCACTTTGTTCTTCTTTCAGACTCATCTGCACTCTTTTATCTTGAGTTCATCAACCCTGGAACATTCCAGAAGGTTTAGTGAGCCTGTGAGCCTGTGCTATTTTTTCCTCAGATAGAACATATTTTACCTATTAGGTTTAAAAAGAGAATTAAATTTAGGTCTTCCCTATCTTGTGTTACTCACCTATAACTGAGGGATCATAAATATGTTTCCATTTCCCTGGGAACATGCTGCATTTTAAAGATGTGTTGACCAGATGTGAGAGGGTTTTTTTTTTTTTAAATTTCTTCAAGGTAAGGATCTCTTAATGGAATACAGGATGTTCATAAAATGCCAGCCCAGTGAAGTATGTCTTTTGTTTAATTAGGCAAGATGTATCTGAAATTTCCTTTCCTTTCCAGTGCAGTCCTGAATTTCTAGCGTGAAAGATGTCATAGGGAAGAGGCCCATAATTTGGAGGAGGTATGAAGATAATGTCTGATTGATTTAGATCCATTATTTTTTGTTCTTGAACCCACAGCTGACCTGTTCTTTTTGCTACCTGCAGGTTCTAATTCTTGGGAGGCAGCCCACAAAAGGAGGAAGGGCTGCCTTCCAGGTTATAAAGTGGTTATCGTCCAGCAGCCATCAGTGTGTTGAGAGAACCAGCAATGCGTGCGGGTCGACGTCTGTGGGAATCTTCTTTGAATGAAACTCAGTGCTTGATCCAGGATGTAAATTAGATGATGCTGGCTTTTTTTTTCTTTCCCTATCAAGAACTGATCCTTGTTATATATCACTTTTAAAAAATCCATTTTTGAAAAGGGGATAAACTTTAAATTAAAGGGCAAGCAGGAGGCCTGGAAAGCCATGTAGTTTTATGCATTAATTCCCTAATGAAGGGAAAATTGATAGCCCCTGACAGTTCTGAGAACAATAGGACTCTTTACATTCCTTTTGCTTCTTTCCCCCTTGTCTTCAGAATTTGCCTCCAAGAACTTATATAAAGCAATCTCTGTGGTTCTTGGGTTTGGATCTTTTCCTTATAATATATCAGTGGGCACAGGGAAAAGAGATTGCTTAGAATCTGGACTTTCTGTACAAGATGTCTCAAAATCCCTGAGCTATGTCATGAGTTAAGTTCATCATAATGAAAAAACAATAATAACAAAAATGATTTAGGATTGAAAGTCTTGGGTCCTAAGTATTGGCCATGTACTCACTGAATGGTTTTGTACCAAGAATTTAATCCTTATGAATCTCATTCTTATCATTGTTAAAACAGAAATAATAATGATAGCCATCTGCCAGGTCATTGTGAGGATCAAATGAGATACTATTACATGGAACCATATGGTGCTGCCAATATTCAACTGTCTTTGATCTTCATAAACAATTGCTTTATCAGGACGAACTCAAACTATCTTTTGCAAAGTGCAAAAAAAGTGGAACTTCCCTAACAACTACAGAAAAAATATATGGGAAGGAGTGTGTAGAATTTAGATGATCTTCACAAATTGTACAAAGGAAAAGTAACCTGATATTAGTAGTTGTTAGGAATAGATTGATCCATATAATATTTATTTTAAGCAAATAGAAAAATAACACCTGCGTTTTTTGTTTGTTTGTTTGTTTTGGTAATTGAAGTTCAAGTTGCAATAAGGCTCAGGAAATGACCTGGCTGACAATGGTGTATTTCACACATCTTATCTAGTTGAAATATATTAATATATAAATATGTTCTGCTTCTCATCTCAAACAGATGTTCTTCAGTCAGGGTTAATAATATAGGCTTATGTTCCTTAATAAAGATTGTGAAAGTCAAAAGTGGAAGACTTAGAAACAACACTGATTTTTTTATAGTAACAGAAAAGGATCAATACTTTATAAAGATGTAGAAATGTGATTTTGTCCAGCTGACTTAAAAACAGCATTGTACAGGGACACAGCCACATCAATATTTATAGCAGCACAATTCACAATAGCTAAACTGTGGAACCAACCTAGATGCCCTTCAATAGATGAATGGATAAAAAAATGTGGCATATATACACAATGGAATATTACTCAGCAATAAAAGAGAATAAAATCATGGCATTTGCAGGTAAATAGATGGAGTTAGAGAATATAATGCTAAGTGAAGTTAGCCAATCCCAAAAAACCAAATGTTGAATGTTTTCTGTGATATAAGGAGGATGATTCATAGTGGGATAGGGAGGGGGAGCATGGTAGGAACAGATGAATTCTAGATAGGGCAGAGGGATTGGAGGGGAAGGGAGGGGGCATGGGGTAATTAATGATGGTGTAATGTTATGATCATTATTATTCAAAGTACAGGTATGAAGACACAAATCGATATGAATATACTTTCTATACAACCAGAGATATGAAAAATTGCTCTAGATATGTAATAAGAATTGTAATGCATTCTGCTGTCATAAAAACTATATAATTATTTATTAACACAATTAGATTAAAATACAGTTAAGATCTATGCTCCAAAAAAAAGAGAGAAAGAAATGTGGTTTTGTGTAATAATCAGATAAGGATATTCACATTGAAATTCTCATACATGCGTTTTTGTATTGGGTTTGGCAATGAATCATGCAGGCTGTTAAACAATTCTCATACACACTTTAACTCGTAAAGATGTTTCTTTAAGGACTTGTTTTTTCTTTTTCACTGGGAAGAGAATTTCCATATGTGTAGAAAAATCATGATGAATATTTGGATATTATTTCAAATAACACTGAGAGGTTTCATTATTTACAGTATATTTTTTTAAATTATAAACTATGAAAAAATTCAGAAGCCAGGTAAGATTTTTCTTTGGAAAAGACCTGACCTGTGAAAAAATGCTCTGAGTGATCAATTTTAGTTTTGGACAAAACTGCAACTGGCCAACCAAAGCAAGAATAAATTCATGTTCAGGATGGTGCCCTTCCTGTATGGAGGAAGGTGATCTTTCTGTACAGACTTTTCAGAGGTAGTCAGGAAAGAAGAGAAAATGACCACCCTTTAAGCTTATCTGGAAAGCTCATGAATATGTCTGTCTCAGAATAATTAATATTTGCACCTGTTTGGATGTTCAAAATGCCTGAGTATGGATGATATATTATATGGCCACCAAAATTTTAGGGACTATTATTATTAGTAATAAAAGTTGGGAGCTTTAAGACACCAGAACTTCCATCTGCATTCCTCAGGAGGGTTACCAGGGCCATAAGAACCTTTGTCATTCCCCAGTTTTTGTAATTATTGCTGATATGAATTCTTCTATTCACCAGAATACTGTTCTTAGAACCTGTGAATTTGTCATCAGAGTCAGCAAAGAGGCAGGAGGGCAAGATATTGAAGGGTTTTCAGTATTAGGGGGTAAGGACCTTAAGGAATAAACTTGGTGGTCTTGGAAATGACTTGAAGCCTGGTTATAGAAAGGGCTAGGGGATCTCCCAACAGTGTTTGATTGAATCATAAGTATAGTATTTTAGAGTCAGGCATGGTCTGAGAAGTTGATCTGATTTCTCCTTTTGCCTCAAGTAGACATATGCTGACGTCCTGATGGCCCATGGGATCTTGTTTTACTATGTTATTGCAGAGTCTTTCCTCCCAGGCATATCTAGCAGCTGATTCACCTGGAGAATCAAACCAGCCTGGGCAGTGGATACTTTGAAGGAATCAGAAATATTAAAATGGAAATACTAGCTAAAGCCAACCCTTTATTGTATATACTATATAGAGTTAGCTCTAGCCAAGATATTTCTCTCTCTCTCTCTCTGTACACACACACACACACACACACACACACACACACACACACACACAGAGAGAGAGAGAGAGAGAGAGAGAGAGAGAGAGAGAGAGAGAGAGA